CGACATCGAAACGGACATCCATACACCATTCGATAGAGAATTGAAAGAGCTACATTTTGCACTAGTCATATTTGGAAAAAGAGCGACTTTAGTTTTTCGCCTAATGTCCGCCTGGATGCCCACTGTGGAATATATGGGCAGTTCTCACATGCATGAGATTCAAACAGGATAACAGGATGTTGTAAATAGCAGTGTTTTACACGAGATAAGGCAATTTATTTCATAGAATTTATTTCTCGTCTCATTCTGTCCCACAAATGTTCTTCAAATGTTTATATTATAGGATCCTATGGGAGTTCAGACTTGTCCTATGGTATTCCATGAGAAATATTTTTCATGACAATATAGGTGTACGTTGTATTTCGTTATTGTTATTTTTTCACCAGAAAGTGGAGCATTTTCTACAAGACAGTGAGAGGTTTGCTCATATGGACAGCGAAGCTAGTAGGCTCGATAGACTTGAGTCTCCTCTGATTCTGGAATTGAAACATTCAAACAACGCAAAGTTCAACTTCAAAGAAGTTTAGTTATGTTTTTGATTTTTTCTTCCTTTACAAAATGTTTCCAAGTGGAAAAGATGACACAATTATATATGTGGTAAATTTTAAAACGCTATAACAGGAGGACATCTCACTTAATAGCTGATTTTTTCAAAAAACCCTAGGTTTTCCATGTATTTTCCATTTATCTCGGCCCAGAAATGTCTTTATTCAATAAAAATGACATATTCGAAATCAGTGCAAAAAGCTGTGTTGAATAGCTTCTTAATTTTTCTGCAGAAATATTTTCGATCAAACTGAATTATAGAGTTGAAAGCAGCAAATTTTGCCTAGGAATTTGGATATTTGTTTTAGCAATAGTGCGAAAGTCTATAAACACATTTTTCTATAGGTCTTCGAATATGCTCTTTCCAATGATGAGGTTTTAGAAATGCAAAAATATTTTTTATGGGTTTTCCAGAGAACCGAACACCAGAAAAACCACAAAAAATTATTTTTTTGTTTGAAAATCTCACCATTAGAAAGACATATCCAAAGACCTATAGAAAAACGTGTTTATAGACTTTCTTACCGCTTCTAGAGAAATGTCCGCCTGCTCTATAGTAAAATGCACACTGTGTATCGAGCCCTTCAAGTGTAAGAAGATATGAAAAAAGACTCGAATGAATGTCCATTACTAGCAGTAGTATATGAACTAATCTAAAATCTATCTGTGATAACAAAATATTTTTTACTTGCATCCTACCATGTCCAGGACACACCGTTAACTCATGAAAGGAAAATTTTATAACCTTTCGTGGAGTTTTCTCTAAAATTATGTATACGCAGAGTTCCCAGACGGGCCGTATTTGCGGGACACATTCCGCAATTTGTCCGCATTTTAAGCTTTTGCTGTTTTTCCCCTGTTCATATAAGATTTAAAAAGGAAATTTTCTATCTATTGAGGATTCTCTTCTCATCCTATTGTCCAACTAAGTAGCCAGTCACTCGTCAATTTATAATTATTCCTCATCGACGCCAAATCTGCTTAAACTTATTCATTTTAATCAAAAATATACAGTCCAAAAACAACGTGTCAACTAAATTCGAGACTTACATTTCTATTTGTTGTTCTCTTTTGTTTTATTGAATAAAACCACAAAGTGCTAGGGAAAACATTTTTTTGACTCAATGTGCGTGAAAACAGCTGAAGTTCAACCATGAAAATGCGTTTCCGCTTTTTTTCCGCGTCCTGAGAAAAATTTTCCGCATTTTGGGATTTTTATTCCGCATTTCTGACCTGAGCATCTGGGAACTCTGTGTATACGAGTAGTATGTGATCAGTGAATCACATCTTTTTACATATATAATCTCAGATAAAGGTCTATAATCATTACGGGAAAGCGCATAATCTTTGTTTATTTTGTTTACATTAAGCATAGAATATTCATTTTTATGCTACCGACTTTGTATTATAACTTTTCACTGGAATAAATGTTTGTATTTCTCGTCATTTCTCAGAAAATCTATTTTCTATCCTTAATTTAAATAAAGAAAGGAAAGTATAGACCTTCTTAAGTTGGTTCTCTTCTCTCTTTATTCATTTTATTTTGTAGAACAATTGTTTCACAATATGAATTTTATTTAAATTGCCGTATATATTTTGATTGATTATGTTTCAGAGTATTTTAAAATAAGTGCACAAGTTTCCAACCTTCCTTTTACTGTTTCGTTTATGTATCTAATTCTGATTATTTTCAGTAATTGTTAAATAAAATTTCTATATATTTCCTTTCTGATAGTTTTTTAAAAAATAGTTACCAAAAAAGCATCACAAACAGGAAGTTTTTTTGCCTAGTTGTGTTTTTGAAGATTGAAATGAGCAGTTTTCAAACGCGACTGAATCTAATGCGAAAACTTGTCTTTAGTGTCTCTTTATACTTCATACGTTCATGCCTGTGAGAAATTTGCTGAAAAATGTATTTATCCCATAGCATATCTTCTCTCGCTTAGAATCTTGATAAATACAATTTCCATTTCAAAGCACAGGTCTGAATTATCAACAAAATACATTCTTTTATAGTTTTTAGTTACTCAACGCAACTTACTCCTGACAAAATCATATCTATTAAGGGTCAATTCTACTTATCCTCAAAGTCGATATTTTTACCAAATGTTCTGAGGAGAGATATTTTCAGAATTATTGAAGCATCAGATAGCTGAGAGTCGTGCAAGTTTTGTACTTCATTACAGCTATTCAAACTCTAACAGGTTGAAAAAATATTTATCATTTAATTCCGTGTATTAGTAAAAGACGTAAACACCTACGAACAGTCGCGAACATCTACGAATTAAAACCTAAGTTAGCCAATTGATAGAGCCCGTCGAGTTGAGTATAGCAACCCCTAACGAACATCCAAAAAACGTTGTATAGCTTCGCTTTTAACCCTTTCTAGCCGACTTCTTTTCATTTTTGATATAACTCTCTGATTTTACACACATTTTGCGATTATTTTACGTGGAATTGATCCTATTTATTATAATAGTAGTTAAAATAGAAGCAAACATGAAACAAAAATGAAACGTATACATTAACAACGATTTGATTACACTTAAATGATATTTTTATTTAAAGATATTATTAATTCGTAAGGAATGTATCACATCGTTGTCGTAAAATGTGTGCCGCAAATAAATGCACGCGTATAATTATATTATTCATTAATAAACTATAACGAGAATAATTATAACAACCGGATTATACACTATCTAAAAATGTCTTGACATATTACATCTTTTATATTAATTCTATTTTACTAGTACCATTATTATTATCATTTACAATTTTTTGCTGTTGTTGTTGTTGTTGTAGTAGCGACGATGAATGTGTTGTTTGTTGAAAAAAGTAGTCTATTTCTCGAAATGTCGGACGATTATAGTCAAATTTATTCCAACATGAATGAATTAGTTTAAATAATTCTAATGGACAAGTATTCGGTAACGATAAATTAAAATTTGAATTAGATGATTTAATGTCATTATTTAATAGTATATCAATATTAGATGTGGGCGATGATGAATTTAATAATTTTAAATTTGTTAGTACTTGTTCATCATCTAATAGAGCATGTGGACGTTCTTCGGCCGTAGTTAATATTTCCCATAGTAAAACACCAAAAGAATACACATCTGATTTGGATGAGAAATGATTCTAAGAAGAAAGAATAAAATAAAAGAATATTGTTTTTATTTAAAATAAAATTTCTTACATAACAAATGGTTTCCCAAGCACACCATCGTATTGGTCTCAATGATGTCTGTTCACCAATTTCTACAGGATAATAATCGTCTTTGTATGTTTCTTTACACATGGCTAAATCTTGTAGTTTTATTGTTAAATTTAAACAAACTAGACAGTTTCTTGCTGCTAAATCTCGATGAACAACATGAAATGATTCTAAATAGTTTAATGCTGATGTTATTTGTCGTCCAAAATAATAAACGGTAGAATATAAACTAAAATAGCAAAAAAAACAAGTTTTATTTTTTTTTATTCAAATGAAGAAATATAAACATGCATACTTTGATACATTTTGATCAACAGATTGTAATTTATTACGATAATATCGAAGATATTGATACAAATCAACAGTATCAATATATTCTGTAATTAACGACACTGGTTCACTACAGAAACCATATGAGTGTAAAATATTCAAATGACATAACGATGTTAGAAGACTAATTTCATTGAAAAATGACACACTAAAATAAATAAATATCACTATTATTTCACTGTTAGAGAAATAAAAAACATTTTTTCATCGTCATTTTTTCAAAAAGAATAAAAGATTTAATCTGATTTTATTCATTTTATCTTCATAATCCTTCAAAGGAAGGTTTTACTCCTACATGGCACTATACATACCGCGCTGGCATAGATACACTCGAATTAAGTCGACGTATTACTACTGGAACAGTCGTATTTTCCGAACGTTGAAGTTGTAATTCACCTTGATAAATCTAAACAAAAAAGATTAAAGAAATAATAGAATAATTAAAATAGTTGTTGTCAATCAAAGTAAAAACTTACTTCTCCTCCAAATTGTCCAGAACCAAGTTTTTGTTTAAGTTCAACTGAGCTACTTGGAATAAATTGTGCTCGAGCTAAATCAAATCCGAGTAAACGTTGTGTGTAATACTGACTGTTACCACAAACACCTTGGATATGTGGAGACTGTTCATGATTTATTGGTAAAACCATTTTTATTGGTGTCATTGTTTTAGAAGGTGAATAACATGATGAACAATAGAGATGTTGATGCGATGTTGTACCATAAGTTGTATAAAATACGGGTGGTGTATAATCGTGTTGATCCCCTTTAATTGTTGCATAACCATAGGTATGACCATGATGTTGTTCATGTACAGTTTCAATATCTTCACTTGTCGAAGAATTTGTTGTTGTAGTAGTTGTAGGATGTGAGAGAGATGATGATGATATTGGTTGAAAGTAATGACGTTGAGAAGAATGATGTATCCAACTGGACGATGTCAAATGTTTTTTAGATGATGTAGAAGATTGTGATGTCCTTGTTCGCCGAAATAATAGTATAATCGCACCCATTATCAATAAAATACTAACAGCTGATAAACAAACAATAAGATAAACCCAAATATTTGTCAATAGTGGACGACCAGAACGTATTATGGTAGGAGATATTGTTGTCAATAGTTCATCGTAATCAAATAAATATTTATTTTTAAACATTGATTTAATATTGGTCTCTTCAAATGATTTTGATAGAGGTCGTTTACGTGTACGATTTAATTTTAATGTTGATATTGGAGTCGTCGATATAATTCGTTCAATATTATCAACAATAAATGAATCAAATGTTACTTCACTAATTAATAACCAATTACCATCAAAATAAAGATCTAATTGAATACTTGATCCAACATGATATTTTAAATCAATCATTACTGGTCGAGCTAAATCAAAATTTTCATCACGTTGATGATCATAGAAAATAGATGAAACATTTTTATAATCTTGTTCCGAACGACTAAATTTTATGACAGCTGAACGAAATACATAAATGCCTTTTGTATAGTAATTATTAGTATGAATTGTTAAACGACTAAAATTTCGTATATAATCAAAATTAAATATGACTGATATTGGTTTTTTATCAATATGATTATCATGCCAACCAACCTAGAATGTTAAAATTTGAAATATTGATATAAAATTTGTTAATTTTACTTACCCATTTATAACCACGATTTTCACGATAATTATCAGCACCTGTTTGACCATCTGATAATTGACCTAGACCACCTATAAATTTTAAAAATTATTTCATTTAAATGAAATGAGTTTCTATTTGTTTTAACTATTTTACCAGAAAGATATTTTCTATCAACATCGTATTGTCCATCATAAGTTTCATCTTCTAATAATAAATTTGTTGTTACACCTTGTGGCATACTATAAGAAACAACTCCATCGGTAAATGGACATCCAAATAATTCTAATTTTAAACACACAGATTGACTATCAGGTATAAGTCGAATATTTGTTGCAATAATCGGAGGATCAAAAGATGTTATTGTTGTATTTGAATCATGATTTTGATGTTTTATTTTTGAATGATATTTTTTCCATGTTGTATTCAATGTTACATATTTATCACGAGTATATTCAAGACGATAAGATGATAAATGATAATGGTTAATCAATGGTTGATTATCATTTAGAGAACGATATTTTATTTCAAGTTTTGTTAAATAAGTTAAATTTCCAAAATTAATTTGTACCCATTCATATGTCAATGAAGAAGATAAATCAAACGATGGACACCACATTGGTTTTTCTTCTGGATTATTAGAAGAAATTCTTTTAAAAAAATAAAAAAAAAAATTGATCATTATTTAAATGTAGATTATTTCAGTTATTATAAATGAATAAACAGATGACCCTATGTCATACTCCATTAGCTTGGATCTGGTGTTTTTACCAACAACAAAAAAGACATTACGTTTGTAGATCATATTTTTTTTGGGGGGGGGAATTTTAAATCTTACCTTGCAGCTTCGCTTAAATTTGTTTCATCGAAACTATTACTTGTCATAAGTGAGGGCTCTGTTATCATTGGTGTTTGACATGATGATGCTCCTTCTAAAATAAATAAAAACAAAATAATATTAGAATTCAATAACGAATACTTTCATATTGAAACATACTTAGTTCCATACATTGACTATAACACACTGTTTCAAATAGAATTGTAGTCACCAAAACAATCTTATAATAAATCTTCATGATTAAATTAAATATGTATCTGATGAGTGAAATTTTAGTTTAAATTCAATATCTACATGAAAAAAGAGAAGTTTTCATATTTTATATATGAAGTTGTAACAAAAAATGACTTTAACGTGTATTCACTTTAATTCTTATGTGTTAATATAAAATTAAGCGAAGATTATTTTTATGAGGAAACTCTTTTTTTTCTGTTTCTTTCTTCATTTTTCGTCTCTCTCTCTCTCTTTCTCTTTCTTTTTCTCTTTCTCTCTCGCTCTCTTCTCTATTATTTTCTCATTCTCATTTCCTCCTTCAATGAAATTAAAATAAGAGGTGAACATAAAGGCTGGGAGAAATATTACGATTGTCAAATTTTGACAGGTGATATTATTCTCCTTTTCGCTCGATTGCTAATTTATCATTGTCTGTTCTTGATGTGTGAAATTTTCGTTCATGAATATAAGATGGAAAAACGTATATAGAGAGAGAGAGTGAGAGGAGAAAACATATGAATGATAAAGATCGTACATCCGGTATATCTGTCTCTGTTCAATGACCATAAGGCCTTGACTATTAAAAGTCATTTAGACACTTATTTTGTTTATACAATCTCTCACTTTATATAAATATTTTTCTAAATGATTGAAATGTGTCAAACATATTTTATTTTATTTTAATCATCCATACTCGATTAACAAGAGTTAATGGAATTATATCTCTAATTCTGTTATACTAGTGTTCAATCAATATTGCTGATAGAACGATAGAGCTGACGATTGAAATTTTAAACTGACGATAGAAACCATAACAATAATAATCACATTACATAAATAAAGTTATGTACGTGAGTGTATGAGAGTCTAATATCATGCTGTTTATGTCTATATTAAGATTGATTGTTAAATAGACTAATTTAATTGGTATCGATTTAATAGTCTATTTATCAATAGTGAATAGAGAAGGATGTTCCTGCCTTCTGGCACAAAACAAATCCTATAGTTTTCTATTTTAGTCAGATAGTGATATACGATGATTATATAAAATTCTCGTCTACAGTGAGATAAAACATTGTAAAACACGATGATTCTCTTAACTTACTTAATATTATAACTAAATTATCTTTCGTTATTCGACTTTGAATGAATATCTATTGAATATCCATAGCGTAACTCTATTATGTGAATATACTAGTAAAAATGAATGTCAAAAATCATAAGGATACATGTATATGATTCTTTCATTAAATCAGTTAAGAAGACATATCTATGCATCCTTGCCTATATTCTTTTTTAAAAAATAAATAGTCTTTTGTTAAAGATACGTCTCATTTGACTCTTTCTCTGGTAAATGATTGTGTGTGTGTATATGTGTGTATATATGTATGTTATACATACTCATAAAAAGATTAAAATCTTGCACACACATGCATGTATAAAAGAGTTGTATAGTTATATGCAGAGCAAGATGAATGACAAGTGCAGAGAAAAAAGTATTATTCGAACTATGAACATTCTTCGATAATATAGGCTTTCCTGTATAACAAAGTGACTATATTAAAACAATGATCTAAATTATACAATGATGAATCGGGATATATAGCCTATTAGTTCATAAACTGATGATTTTTGTACGCATGTTTTTTTTAAAGCATAAAATTAAAAAATGTAATATATAAAAAAAAGAAATGAATGAAATTTTCTCTCTATATATAAGAACAATCTGTTGTTAATTCCACAGAACGATACTAATGTTTGCTGGGAAGATAAAACTATCATTGGCACGATAAGTGTATTATTAACACATAGACACAAGATAAGCGATGGTAAAGAGGTGAAGGAAAAAACAACAACGAGGACTTTATTCGAGTATTAGAAACAAAATGTGAAATTATTCTAAGTGGCTGAAGTAGGAATTGTTGAACGCGATTGTAGTACAGTAGAGGTCAAAAGATGAACGTTGTCTCGTCTATTAGATGAGTTGGAAAAAGATTGTGTCAGACTGATCATACAAAAAAAAGAAGAAAAGTCAACCGTATTTTTACCAATATGGACTAATATTGAAATCATAAAACTAAAACCTTTTGAGTTAAAGTGTTTTTGACATGATAGTAGAAAAACAACATTTGTTAGAATATTTCTATATTATTAAAACACCTCAATCGTTCGTTTTACGAGTTTAGAGTAGCACTCATTGTATTGATGAATCATTACTACTACTAATAATAATAATAATTTTTATGTTTTATGTTCAAAGGTGTTTTATTCATCCTTCATACTAACGAGATCTATTCGTTGTTGATTGACTGTGAACTGTATCAAGAATGATTCTCTCTCTCTCTCTCTGTTGTACATATGATAATTCAAAGTCAAGATGTTTTCTTTTTTAAAAATCATGAAGGCCATCGATCAAACTAAACTGAATTGAACAATCAACAATAGTTATAAGAAAGAAAACAGTTCAATATACATCATGAACAAATGATATCTAATTTTCAATATTCAATATAAGTTCCATACTTTTTGTTCGATATATATGTATAGAACTGCTTATACAGCCAATATATGTGTTTTGCAAGTGTAATAAGAAATGAATGAATGAATGAATGAGTGACTGATCGATTGTTCATGTCATAGAGCAAGTTTAACTAATGTGCTGCTGATGTTATTTTCAATTATTATTTTTGCTAATACAAGAATAATAATAATTGAACCGTTAACAATTAACAATATTGAAGACAAAAAGCGTTCATATTAATTATTAGTTTCATGATTTTCTCAACATTAGTCAACATTCAATTAACAGTGAAAAAGAATTAACAATTTGGATATGAAAATAAGACAGCTATCAACTTAGGATATCTGACTATTGGCTGATATAACTGAGATGATTTGGAATTAACTAAAGTCAAACGGCTGTTTTGAATATCTGATTAACGAGCCCATGGAGGAGTCTGTAATGCTAATTACCTTGAATTTATTCTTATACCTATGATCGTCGGTACGATAAAGACTTATTATTCAATGAGAAACTGAACAACTTTGATTATTATTTCTTACATCTGTCTGTATCAAAAGTGCCTATTTTTTTACTACTAAGTGCCTACGCCTATGATCTATAAAAAAAAAAACGACGTTATCAAATTTAGGAAACAATTATCTTACTACGTAACAAAAGAGCCAGTTCTACATATGTATTATTTTCTTTTTTCTAATATTTTTAACACGCAAAGTTCATTATACTATATCTATATTGAAATATGAGTCTGTCAATTCTCTTTCTTTTTTTACTTAGAGTCTCAATTTATTTGTCGACGTAAATTTAAACATCATTACTTATATACTTATAATATATTAAATTTATGGTTTTCATAAATATGGTGGTTAGACTCTCACTATACTGATGGAAAAATAAACGAAGAAAAAACAAGATTTTTTATAGTATGTGTAGAGTAATAGAGCTGAGTTATTATTAAAATAAATTGTACAATATTCTTATTCCATCAGTTTTTTTTTCTTCTTCTCCTTCTTCTTTAAAGTATAAAACTTATCCCATGAGAAAAATTCATCTGTATGACAAAATATAATTCTGAATTGATAGTTGAATAGTATAAATCAGTCATTAGTGACATATCGATTCAGATGTTAGACATAATCTGGAGACCGAAACCGACATCAAAAAACATACAAAAAAAAAAAAAAGCAGAAATAAATAATGACAAACTCATCATAAATTCAAAATATTCATTCATATTTAGTCAATACATATGTATGTATATATATATTATAACTAGTTAATGATGACCGCATGTTTTATGTTTATGAAACAAAGAAATAAAATAACGTTTATTCTGTACTATGTATTACGATTTTTTTTCTCTTCTTCTCTTTGTTCTTTTTTGTTAACTTATTATATATTATTTATCATTTATGAACGAGAACAAAATACACAACAATGTATAATGAATAAACATTGAACAAATTAATATGTAAACATACAATTATTATAAGTAATAAATTCTTTTTCTTTTTCCTCTTTATCACACAAATTTATATTCTAAGTTTTAGATCTACACTATGTATGATACACAATTTTAATAGTAAATATGTTAAACAGAAAGATCTTATATCTCGCTTATTTCAAATTGAATAGAAATAGAGAGTTATTTATCGAATAAAGCTGCTGTAATTGAATTGTAACTGATCTATCCGTTTGTTTTTAGAGAAATGATGACTTTTTCTTCACTAAGCGGATTCTTGCATATTGTTTTCGCTATTAAGTATTAAAAAAAAAGAAATATATTAGGTTATTGTTTTCTAACATCGATAATAAAAGGTTTAACTTACATATATTCAGAGGTCAGACATGAAAATAGAATTCTTCAAAATAATAATACCTTCAATTTTTTCAGGATTTACGTGTTTTATTATTATTTTTTTTCCTCTAATTAAAAAATGTTGAAACTATAACCTTTTCATGACAAAGTTGCGTTAGAAATTACTAAAAATGAAATCTTTTTCTTTTGTATATGTCTCTCTCACTTACTCTCTCTCTACTCTACTTGACACATGCATAAAATACAAGAAATATTGAACAATAGAAGAAAAAAAATGGAGAAGAAAAAATCCTACTATCATAGATCATATATGTACAAAAAAACTTTCTATACAAAAGATAAGATACTTGTTTAAAACATGATAATAGTACAGGGCAGGATAGAGGGAAAGGGCGGAAAGATACAAAAGAACTACATTAACGAATCACTAGAGACAATAGGAGAAGGGAGTTATAATCAAGATGTCTCGATTCAAAAATACGTAATGTAGGTCAATTTTCTGTAAAATATATGTTGTATTTTTTTTAAATTTCTCACGTAGAGAAATAAATAAAAAATCGCGATAAATTTAACACCTCTCGAATATACATTGATTCCACATGTTTCTTAGACATCT